TCCTGCTGTGATTATTCTTATGTTCCAGAGGAGTCGTTATTAGTATTCTTTGTATAAAATTCATTAGCAGTAGCTGCTTGATCTCCAAATAAATAAGTTGGTTAAATTGTTAGTAGAAAAAAAGGCTAATTATGTAAATGGATTAGGTCGTCAATATTTCATTTCCAGATGCTTTTTCCCCTGCTATGTAATGCTTCATCTTCTATAAATATAGAATGATATAGTACACTATTGACTAAGTATTCATCTTGTTGAGTACAGTACTCTCCTGCTAACTAGTAGAGCTGCATGTGGTAATGGAGACATAAGATATCTTAATATGTTCTTCATTGCATTTCGTTTGCTTTAAGTGTTTCAGTTGCTTTCCTTTGCATTCCTTGTTGGCTACTGCATTTGCAGTTGGACCACTGAGGATAGCAGGGCTAGAACCCAGTGCCATGCTCAGAGTGACTCTGGGCTCATTCACTGCCATTTCTGACATGCTCCTCTATCTTTGGATCCCCAGTGAACTCCTGAACTTGAATTATGCAACTGGCAGCCATGCTGATGTCTGCTGCAATTAAGTCGCTAGCTTATGCCTTTGACTTTTATTTATTTATTTTTGGGGAAACTATTCATCTGAGGCTGCAACAGTAATTTCTCCTCTTATGTACTGAGCATTTTCCTTGCAATTCACCAGGCTTGCATTGCACATTAATCTTTTATTACTGAGCATCGTACTAACTCTCACCTGCCAGCTGTGAAATGACCTGCAAAAAGACATTTAACAATTGGTTCTATCCGCTGCATTTACAGTATACACTTTAATCAATGTGTGGGATTAAATTAATGCTGATAGGCAATTTCCAATATCTGGTAGCTAGGAGATAAGGGTGGTGTTGTTTTTTTTCCAACTGGAAAAGCATAGCTGTTCTCCGTGGTGGATCATGTAAACTGAGGTAGTGACACCTGGCAGTATTCGGAAGCCGGAGAATTGTGCAGCAGTTCCATTCTTTGGGACTTTAGTTGGCCTCTTCCGTTGGGACCTACTCCGATCACTTAGAGCGTGTGTAGACCAAATGGGGGCCCTAAATTGATACGGTGGGTTTTTAAAAACACTGCTTCCATTTAGGGCCTATTAAACCCCCGTGTCACGCGCACACCCGACTTACCTGCCTCTCTGGCGGCAGGGAAAGGAGGGCGAGCTGCCAGTGGGACGAGTGGTCCCTGGGCTGCGGGGAATGGGGGGTGCTGGTGCTTCCCTCTGCGGCAGTGGCAGCCCTCACTCAGGCGGCACCCACCCGCAGACACCTGGCTCTGGCAGTCCCAGGAGGCACCGCAGCTGTGGAGGGAAGCACCGGGTCCCGCGGAGCTCAGGCAGGCAGGCAGGCTATGGGGGAAAAAAAAGATCATGCTTGCTGCTTTTTTTTTTCCTCTCTTGGGTGGAGCCTGCTTTCCTGGGCTGCTGCCAGGCTGCCTGCGCGGGCTTCCTGCAGAGCCCTTGAGCTGCACGGAGCCTGGTGCTTTGCTCCACAGTTGTAGGGCAACAAACTAAAACTCCTTGGAGTTTTTGCGCATTACGCCACCGAATTTGCTACAGTGGCTGTAATTAATGTGCAATATGCCACCAATGTGTGCAAATGCTGACACTGTTAAAGCAGTGCAAAAGGATTTAGCCCACTCTAAATTTTCGTGCACATATGCCTGTTGTTTCGTCTACACACAGCCTTAAACTGCTTTTACAGAAAAAGGGAATGGACCATTTGGAATATATTTCACCAAGATTGCATTCAAGAGGGGAAAATTTTAAATATTGTGATTAAGATGTGGTGAAAAAAAATCCATCTCCCATTCCATTTGTCTGTGTATGATAAATGTTTGTAGTTCTGGAGACAGAAATACACAAATTAGGGTAGAAACTACCTATCCTAAGATGTTGTACTGGTGACCATCAGTCTAGTAGTAAAAGGACAGTTCTGCATTTACCCAGAATGTATGTAATGAGACAAGGAGCCAGTTTTCCTACTGGCATAAAAGAGATGCAACTATAGCATTAAGAGAAAGAAAAATCATTCTGTCACAGATCATCTTATTTAATATTGTTTAATTGCATGCAGTTCTCTTTTAACCACCAGAAGGTAGGGTAGTCATCTAAGGTCCTACAATGAGGCAAAAAGTAATCTGAACAAGTGTCTTTCGAAATACATATGTGAAATTATTTAGGGAGTGACACTGCAGTCACTTTGTTAACTAATATAATTTTGACTAATGGAAATATTGCAAGATGTAATTGGACAGAGATTAATACACTTTGGGTTAACAGAAATGTACATGCCTAAGATAACACATCACCTCCATGATTTCATCAGTTTGGTACATTACTTAAATAAATGACCTATGATTTTATGCTTAATACATCAGCAAAAGCATTCCCAGGAAAAGTCATAAACTGACTAGACTATATTTAGCATTTGACTTCATTGTGCCTCCCATATTTCTTTGCAGGTGTCAGGAAGAGTGTCCCGTCGGGATGTATGGCTTTCAGTGCACTCAAAAATGCAACTGTCAAAATGGGGCAAAGTGTTACCATATAAATGGAGCATGTATGTGTGACCCTGGATTTAGAGGGATTCATTGCCAGGAAAGGATGTGTCCAGAAGGGCTTTATGGCCTGAAATGCAGCAAGAAATGTCCTTGTCACATAACCAACACTCTCAGGTAAGTACATCATATTTTATACCAGTACAGGAACTGGTACACACAAGTAAAAATGCACAGAGAAAATTTGCATATGAGCCCACCCCTTTCTCCTTGTAATTTTAATTAAGGCCTAGTCCATCTCCTTTGAATTATTGCCTTTCATTTAAATGATGATAGGGTTGGAACCAGTTCAGCAAACTACTTCAGTATGTTTGAGACTTGGGGGTCATCATTGACCACAAGATGAACATGAGCCTGCAATGCGATGCGGCGGCTAGTAAAGCGACCAAAACGCTGGCTTGCATCCATAGATGCTTCTCAAGCAAATCCCGGGACGTCATTCTCCCCCTGTACTCGGCCTTAGTGAGGCTGCAGCTGGAGTACTGTGTCCAGTTTTGGGCTCCACAATTCAAAAAGGATGTGGAGAAGCTTGAGAGAGTGCAGAGAAGAGCCACGCGCATGATCAGAGGTCAGGGAAGCAGACCCTACGATGACAGGCTGAGAGCCCTGGGGCTCTTCAGCCTGGAAAAGTGCAGGCTCAGGGGTGATCTGATGGCCACCCACAAGTTTATCAGGGGTGACCACCAGCATCTGGGGGATCGTCTGTTCACCAGAGCGCCCCAAGGGATGACAAGGTCGAATGGTCACAAACTACTTCAAGATCGTTTCAGGCTGGACATAAGGAAGAATTTCTTTACTGTCCGAGCCCCCAAGGTCTGGAACAGCCTGCCACCGGAGGTGGTTCAAGCGCCGTCATTGAACACCTTCAAGAGCAAACTGGATGCTTATCTTGCTGGGATCCTATGACCCCAGCTGACTTCCTGCCCTTTGGGCGGGGGGCTGGACTCGATGATCTTCCGAGGTCCCTTCCAGCCCTGATGTCTATGAAATCTATGAAATCTATGTATCTAAGTTTAAACATGTGAGTAATTCCATTGAAGTCTTGCACACACACACACCTATGGCCTGGCCCTATAACCTTTACTCACGTAAGCAAGGATTGCTCTCAAAAAAGGGTCATAATACGAGGCCTTGTATGTACATACCTACCCCTTATGACCTACATAGCATGTGACAAAGTAGGCGTCACCTACTAAAACTCATGGTCCTCTGAAGGGATCAGTCTCTAAGGTGCCACCCTGATCTCTGCCTGACTTCAAACTAACGTGGCATACTACTTCTCTCTACCCCTTACAGTAGTCATTTCACTTTTAGATTATTTCAAAAAACATATATAGTCTTGTTTAAAAAACAGTTACCGACTAAAGTTAAAAAATATGGATATGTTACTAGCCTCCATCTCTCTGAATCTTTTTTACGACATGGAATTTCATGTTGAATCTATGGACTTCAAGAAGACTTTCAAAATGAAACCTAATTTGCTTCAGTTTATGTTTCATGGCAAATTACCTTGTTGAAAACACTTGAGGCAGATGTATAAATAGACTGAAATCAATATCCCCAAGTCAGTATACAGCTCTGCAACGAAGTCAACATTGTCAAAATAGACATATCTCCTCTTCTCGTAGGGGCCTATTTTTGCTCTTCATTCAGTATGTGCATGCGTAAAATATTCAGGAAAATAAATATCAGGGAAGTGTACCTAAAATGGAATAAGCCTCACTGGAAAGGTCAGATCTCAATATTTTATTCCCTTTTGCTTCTTTCAGGAACCAGTCTGGCAAGGTTCCAGTCACTAGGGGCTAGATCCACAAAAGGGTAGGCTCCATTTAGGCACCAAAGAGCGTGGACACACAAGCGACATGATGCTTGTATTAAAGGGAATTATTTAACTGAATCCCAGAATGTTTGCCCACATCAAAACCTCAAGGCAAAGTCAATTGCATTCATTTCAAACAAAGAGCTAAAAGGAAGTGGGGCTTTACTGCATGGGAGCTTCTCCATGATAACTACCTGGGGGTGCAAGTAGGAGGCTTAGCCCGTAATGGAAGAGGTAAGATACCATGAGTTAGCTTCCATGGATTGTGGAGTGAGTGCGTGCACACAGGCAGTACCACAGAGCAGCTCAGGCACAGTTGTGCCCTTTCATCCTGCAGTAAACTGTAAATCTATCCAGATGTGCAGTCCTCAGCACTGCTGCACAAACCCTACTCACGCCTAAGTTTTCACATTATAAAATTCCCCTGAAGCCTTAAATTGTGCTTTTTCATGTGCCCAAAATCTGTTTCAACAGGACTGAGCAGCTCAGTTGCTGGTCTCTCGGCTCAACCCCGTCGCTCTCCCCAGAGTAGGTGTTCTTCTGCGTACGTGAGCTCTGAGCACAGCCTAACACATGCCTTCAGGATGCGGCTCTGCCCAAAACCCAATGGCAGCAAGCGTGGTCTTTCAAAATGATTTGGCAGCCACAGGCAAAGGAGGAAGGGCTGACGGAGGTGCCCCCTTTCTGCAGTAGAGGCAGCTCGCCCAAGATGTAGGAGTCCCAGGTTCAAGTCCCTCCTCTGCTTGAGGGGATTCAAGCCCACATTTCCCCCTTGGTAGGAGAGTGCATTCCCTACCAGGCAATAAGCAATTGCATTCTGCAGAAGGGAGTTAAAAACTCACCAGGCCAGAGGCGAAAAGAGAACAAGAACCAGACTCTCCAGCCTAGAGGCTGCAGGAGCAGGGCCTGAGTTCCAGTCCTTGATCCAAGGATTGCAAACGTCTTCGATCCAGTGACTGTCTAACGTGCGGTACTTGCAGTGCTCTCTAAGCAGGGACTCTTTTTCCTCCCTTGTGCCAAAGAAATGTTTCGTTATTCCATGCCAGGTGGAACAGCCCCAGGAGGGAGGAGCGGAGCGGAGAGCATGATCGCTCCCCTCTCCCAAATAGGAGTGGAAGATGTGGGTTCAAACCCCCATCAGTAGTGGAGAGACATGGACCTGTGTCTCCCATTTCCTGGGCAATTGCTCTGACCACCAGGCTCTTGCACCATCAGCATCTCCTCTTCCTCCAGCTCGTGAGCTGCTCTTGAATGAATAGACTTAGGCACTTACCGGTAGGTGAGGGTTGGCAACTCAGTTAGAGAGCAGGATGGCATTTGAATTGCCTTGTCCTCAGCATGTCCTCTCACTCACCGTAGGTGAGGGCTCTCCAGTTCAAAGCCCACACGGGATTAATATGTGGTCCCCAGGTTCCTGCGGGAATGCTTGCTGCAGCTTCGGCAGCAGCTGGGGTCTCCAGGCTCCCCTCTCTTCTCCTGCTTCTGGTTCCTGCCCCCACCACAGGGGACAGTGCGGTGCAGCAGGGCACAGCACAGCCCAGAGGGCTGGGGGCCTGAGCACCACAATGCAATGATGGGGCCTGCAACCAGGGAGCTGGGAGCGTGGGCCAGGGAGCAGCCTAGGTGGTGTGGTGCTCTGGGAGAGCACCCACACAGCATGTTGTCCTTGCAATGTGCACCCCAACCACTTAGAAGTTGGCCAGACCAGCCACAGGCGATTGCCCAGGCAGCCTACTGACTGTTGGGAACCCCTTTCTGGGGTGCCTCACCCTCGCCATGCATGGCATTGAGAGCTAAGAGACTGTGGACTCCACTCTGGGGCAAGGCCTTTAAGCAGCTAGGTGCTGTACTGCTCACCACTGCAGTGCCCAAGCCCTGAGCTCCTGTTTGAAGGAAATGCTTGTCACGATCCAGCATTGGGCACTTCCTTTATCCCACCAATCCCTTTCTTGCCATTTAACCAAAGACTGCTGTGAGCTGATCCCTTTCAGCCAGGAAATGACAGAGTAGGAGAATGCTGGGGTTCACACTACTAAATGAAAGGGCTTTTTTCACTCTCCTTCCTGCTCTGATTCCTGTTTTCCTGTCTGTGCCTGTTCAACATTCACAGCTAATCCAGGGTTTCGTAGCCTTCACAGAGAGGTGGGGATAATTGATGCCCAAGCAAATATGCCCTTGATGCGGACATTCTTCAATTTAAACCAGACTAGTGGGGACCTGACTGTCTTGCTGATGATGACAGACCTACCTCGCCTGTCTTGCAGCCTGCTAACATATAAATGCAAGCTGCCCAATTAGGCATGCAAGTGGCACCACTTAATTCCTGCAGAAAAAAATACTTCAGGCAAAATCTGCTACTGTGTCTGAGAGACTCTATCCATCTCAGTCTGGAAAACAAACAGGTGATCTTTCATCTGGAATAGCCGGCTTCAAGTTCCACAGAGAGCGCTAAGATTTCACTTCTCTGAAATTCAGCTCGCTTCAGGAGCTACAGGTTACGATTGTGATGACAGCCAGAGTTATAGGTCTGCTCTCCAGTAACAGCGCTGGACTCTTTCTGCTGCCATGTTGCACCCTGCCCATGTGGGCATATTCACCACTCCATTACAGCGCCACCCAGCAGCCCAGCTTTAGTGAGGCTTTTTTGGCACTTTTATTTCGTAGCTGATAGGATCAGCTTAAGCTAAAAGGGACAAAAAGCCCTACTGAAGCATACAGTCTTTACAGATGCTGCAGAGCCGGGTTGAAGTAATGTGCTGCTTCAAGTTTTTGGGGGTTTGTTTTTTTAATGTTTGCAATTGTGGCTCTGTCTGTGCTGAGCACCCTTTAATTTTTTTTGGTGGGTGTGTGAGTCAGCACCTATGCCAACTGGACTGCACACAGAGCCAGGCTCAGCCAGAGACAGCGGCAGCAGTGGTCAGGTTCTCTTCTCCTGCGCCTGCTCCTAGGCCAGCAGAGAACACAGAAGGCCGGGCAGGGAGGGGGAACGCACCTGCCGCGGCTGCTATCCCTGCCTGTGCCCGACTCTGCACTGAGCCTGGCCGGAGCAGGCAGGGGTGGCTGGGGAGTTCCCCCAGCTCCTGCCTCCAGGTCAGCCAGAGACAGCGGCGGCAGTGGTTGGGTGTTGGAGGGAGGGAAGGGACTTGCCTCTGAGCATGGAGGGGAAGACGCGGGGAATTCTTACTGTACCACACTGAGGGCGATGCTGCTTCCCGTTTGGGAAGTAGCTTCCAAAGAGCAGCACGGTGCGTTTTGGTATGGTGCTACCCGATGCTGCAGTTGAATATTATAGACACAG